ATTTATTTTAAAAATAAAATAAATATTAAATATTTAAAGTTCTTATAGTCCATATAGGAACTATATTATATAAGCACCCCCAATGTGTTAGCTGGATCTTCTTTGTGGTTGGGAAGGTGAGCATACAACGATAGTGAATGCCACCTGTAACACCTTCTTTTCTTTTTCTAGATGAGTGCAAATTTTTTTTTTTTAAAAAGAGAAAAGTAAATATTTTCCAACTATTTCAGTCATTTCTCCATGGTGAATGTAAGTGCTTTCCACGTGAAATACTGTTGGTGATGCTTTTTCTCATATTTCAATTCCTAACGTACCTTAGAAACAAATAGCTTTGCATAAGGACTTTTTTTTCATTTCTTTAATATAATATGTAAGGCGTTTCCTTGGAGTAAACTAGCTTAATCTTGCTGTAAAACTATTGTCATTGGCTTATAACTTATTTCTAAATGTCCTTTGTGCTTAAACTAAGAAAGATGGTCTACCTGAGTTTTTTTATTTAATAGCTATTCTGATAGTTTCTTTAGTTAATTTTGTACATGTACTCACAGTAGTGCAAAGATGAAGGAATAAATTTTCACCAGTGTTATATATTCAATGCACTTGACATTCTTAACAAAACGTTATTTTGTCTTTCCTCAAGGTCTTGCAGGAATTGCAAGCTGTATTAGGGATTCCATTTACAAATCAATTTATGAAGGGTTAGTAAGTGACTAGGAGGTGTTCTGATAAAGGCTTGTAAGTATATTAAAGAACTTAGGATCCAAGCGAAAAATAGATCATTTTCAGCAGAAGGTGATACCCCAGACATAAACTTATCTATACAGTGATTATAAAATTTGTTCATCATAATATTAATTATTTATGAATTAATACCTAGTAGCAAGGATTATATTTTCATTGTATTAGCATGAGAAAGAGAATGTATTAAAAATATAGACCACACAGAAGTGTTAAGAGCATCCTATTTAACAGGTCTTTGATGATTTACCATCTGGAAATCACTGATCTTCCTTTATTAGATCAGACCCTTTCTATATTCTTAAATAAATGAACAGTTGAAAGAGAAGGAGGGAGGATTTGTAATTCTTACATAGGAAAACATTGCTAACTTGATTTACACCTAAACAGAGAATAATTAGCTGGCATGTCTTAATTTCCTAGATCTCCTGGGACCAACCTGCAGCAGCTTTGCACAACTGGATTCGAGGGCATGATAAAGTGCCTGGAGCATGGACAAAAATAGACGGCCAGGTATGCTCTGAAAAAACAGAAAAATATTCTTTTGTATATCCTCTTTTTGATCTTTTTTTATTATAAAACTAAAGGTGTCTGCATACAGGTGAATACATATGGAAGTTACATTGGAGTAACTCTCATTTGATGACTGTGTTTTGCATATATCTAGAAGAGGCACCTAAACAAATGTACAGAACACAGTAGGTTTGGTTTTTTAATTATAGGTCCATTTAATTCAAAGAAAGATAAAATCAATATCTAAAAAAAAAAAAATAAATTAAAATGGGCACAGTACAAAGCAATAAGAAGGGCAGATCCAAACTGTGTCAGTCATTTTGGGAGCTAGGCATGTGTAATGCAACCCATGCTGTACAGTGGGCAACATCACAGTATTAATAGAAAAAGTAAACACTGAGTTACTGAAATTACAAAGGAGGATTAATTTTCAAGAGATTTGGGCCTAGATCATTTGCAGAAATTAATATATCTCATTTTATCTAAAAGCAGTTACTTCCTTCCAATGTACTAAAAGGACTATAGATTTGATACATATTGTACTTGCATAAAATATATTTTTTAATTACTTTCTCTTTCTTGGCTGTGATGTCTAGATTTTGTTACTTAACTCTTAGCCGTCTGCCAGCAGGCTGTTCTAAGAAGCCTGACTCTGCCCTAATGTCCAGGAACTGTTGCCTGTTTGAGAGTCCAGAAAGAGAGAGGCAGCGTCCAGCATTACCAGCCTGGGAGCAGGGTGAGACTGCACCAGTCACAATCAGGCTGCTGCCAGGCTCTCACTCTGGGCGTGTGCTGAGAGCAGCTGCTTCCCTTTCTGCACTGGTTCCAGCATGCACTTTGGTACAGCTGGGCAGCTCTGCAGGTTTAGGCAGCTTGCAAGGTTTTACATGTCTTGCATTGTAAAGGCACAGAAATTATGTTCTAACATGTTTTCTATGCAGGTATTTATATTTTACTTCTGCTATATTAAAGCTTCAAAACAGTTTTGTTTCATTATTAGAATTTTAGATCATGTTTAGAATCTATGGACTTTAAATTCCATTTATTTTTAGGTGGTTACTTTTTACGGGTCATCATTACTTGATGATTCAGTGCCTGCTGGACAAGAGCTGGCAATAAAAGGTGCCTCAAGACCTGGACTTATAACCAAGAATGGTCTAGTCGTTTTTGGTAGTGATGGGAAGATGGTAAGTACACATCCTGGCAAACATGAGCATGGGTGGAATAACGTTGGCAGGAAGTGCAAGTAGTGTGGAATTGTCACACTGTACAAATCCAGCTGCTTATGACTGATATCTAACCTCTGCCATCCTGAGAAGACATTTATGTTTTGCTTCTCACTCAATCCATGTTCATTTCCAATATGGGTTAAACAGTACTAATACTAGGAGAGAATCTGAAAAGCAGCTAGGAGTGGTCTGTGTTAAATTACCTGCATTGTAGCAGCTTTTCTGCAAGCCATTTATTTTACTATTTTAATAACCACATTAATGCCTAAAAACACTTCACACAAGGATGTATTGTCACTCAGATAATTTAAAACCATATCCTCTCATTTTTCAGGTACTGGTGAGGAATCTGCAATTTGAGGATGGAAAAATGATCCCTGCATCTAAATATTTCTCTGTTGATGAAACAACTGCCCTGGAACTTACAGAGGAGGAAAAAAAGATGGCAGAAGAAATTAGGGTAATTATAGGCAGGACATATCTTTATTTAGCCATGCAAATTGTTTTTTGGTAAAATGTACTCAAAGAGTATGAGGTTGAATCTTCAGTTATTAACATTAGTTTAGGTGAAACTGGAAATTCACTAGAGTATTTACATGTCACTTTAGAAAGTTTTCTTTCAGATACAAGTGATACAAAGAGAGTAATTGCAGGGTCAGTTATGGTAAATAATTATAAATTATGAAGGTGGGAGTGAGGAAAGACAAACAGACCTTTGCTTCAGAACAGGGAGGTTTTCAACACTGAGAGACTTGCACAGTTCTGAAATCCTTTTTTTCACTGTGGTGTTACTTGCTAGGATGTGGTCCTGTTGAACAAGCTCCAGGGAGTTTTAGAACAGCAGTCTGAAAAAGAAGAGCAGCAATTTTCTTCCTGTCCCTGTCTGCATTTTCTCATCTTCCACAAGCACACCCAAGGGGCAAAGTGGCAGAGGGATACAGCAGTGGGGCAGCTGGAGCACAAAGCTCTCATAGCCAGAGAGGCACTTTGCTTCCCCTCCATGAAATCCATCCCTCTGTAGCGACTCTTGGGGGCTTAGATGAGACACATTTGTCATTGAAGTTTTGCACCAGAGCAAGTGAATCACAGATGTCTTTCCTTCTGCTACTCTGCTACAGACTTTTTTTCTTTTAGAATCCTTTGAAATAATACAAGTTGTAGGCGTAGATACCATAGAAAATATGGCTTGATAAATACTTCTTGCAGTTAGAGAGTTATTCATTATTGCCTCCATTATTTTTATGTATTACTAGGCTATTTGGAAAGGAATTCTGAGCAATATTGCTGTAATTGAGGATTCCACAGACTTCTTCAAATCTGGAGCATCCTCTATGCATGTTGTCAGGTAAAAAATATTCAAAATAACAGAAGTTTGAAGCCAAAGTCAATGGAAACAAAGTTGTCATGGTGCTTTTAAATTAGGGTTCATCAAATAGTGTTTAAAAAAAAAAATCCCCTTATATTTTCTGATACTCTAACTATTCCCTTTGCTACCTTTGAAAAAGTGATACGGTTCTGCTCGCAAAATCAGGAGATATTGACATAATCCTGCTAATCCTTTCTAATGAAGGAAAATGCCCCCTAACTTCAGGAATGTTGGCCACATGAGTGAACACGGTGATGCTCAAACCTGTCTGCATCCAGCGACAGGTATCTCAAGACCAGGGGGCTGACTGGGAAGCTGAGCAAAGACCTCCTTGGAGGGGAAGAGAAGCCTTTCACAGAAAGAATTGAGACTATACTTACAAATGCACCAAGTTCATGGTGTGTTGGGTCACCTCAGTCACCTTCTTTTTGTGACTCAGATATTCCAGGCCATAAGACCAGCATTTCAGGTGTTTTCTTTTAATGAGCTGATTATTGCCCTTATGCCATGCTTTGGGGTCAGGACTGCCCCCAGACCTGTAACAGATGGTCTCTATTAAACTCCCTTCCC